TTTCCTGAAATTTGATTGATTGTTATGGGGCTGCAATTTTAATCCTGATATTTTTATTTGAAAATATATATATCATCACATATATATATAGATATTGTTATTTATACACACGTTTGCAGAATCACTATTAAATATTTTTTTCTCTGTAAAATATCAAAAACATTTCAATAGAATATTGTGAACATGATTTTATGAAAGAATTTGATATTTCTTTCTTGGCCATAATTTTTCATTTAGTTTTCCCTAAATTAAAATTTTAGAAATTATAGCCAATTAATCGTTAGAATTGTTAGAGTAGCAGTTTAAATTTATAAAATTTAGTATTCTAAATTCACCATATATGAACAATACATACCAATAATTGTAGTTTACAAAGACACTGCTTCATCTTAATATGGAAGCACTAACAATTGTAATAGAATGAATGGCTTTACAGACAGTTGACAACAGCACTTGAAGACTGGTAAACAAGTGATTATTCAAGATAGACAGTTAGACTGTGGCAATTACATTGCCACAGCTGAAGACCACATACCAGAAGTGTGTTTTGTACAGGTTTAATTTGCCTGCTCTTCTGTGTTCTTCTTCAAAAGTAATGTAATCAAGTCTTAAGATTCTTGTTGAAAGGCAGTGGCTATAGCTTTTTTTTTTTTTTTTTTTTTTTTTTTTTTTTTTTTTTTTTTTTTTTAATTGCTTTTAGTGGCTTCTGGAAGGTTTGTGTGAGTTCTGGTCTCTTTCAAAATATCATTTTTATGAGCTCCATTCTTCTGGCAAAGCTGACAAGTGTGTACTCAAATCCTCAAGAACTTTTATGTAACATCACAGTAATGACAGTGTTCTTCAGACTTCAAATTTACTGTACAGTCACATATTAGGACAGATGGATAGAAGAATGCATTTTTAGGGGGCCATTGTAAGAACTCTGGAAATAATATACCTCTTCTCACTGGAAATAAATTAGTTTTAGTCTGTGAAAATAAACTTCTTTAGGAGAAGTGCGATAGGTTAGAGTGATATCACACTTTTAATTCACCAGTATTCATCCAGGATGATGGACAGTTCTCACTTCAGTTTTCCTTCAGTTTTCCTTGGAGACATTCTGTCAATGTCTGTTGTTTGTTTGTTTGTTTTTTCCTACTAAAAACTCATGACTTAGTGACCTAATTGATACTCTAGCTCTAAGTCTTCAATTTGAGTAACATATTTTGTGGTGTTTTTTTAATCAGGTACTTATAATTATATGTAATTCAGTCCTGGTATGATGCAACTTGCTTAGTGTTAGCTATTAAACTGAATATCTTGCTGGTCATCTATATTATCCCCGTAATTATTGAAGGAAGTCAGCTCTAGCAGCAGAACAAACCTAAAGCTAGATGGTCGAAATGGAGCGAATCTTGTGTAGGTACCTGTATCTGTAATATTATTAAAGAAATCTTAGTTGATTAGGTCAGCTTGTTGATGTTTATCTGTAGGCGCACTGAAATGAACCTGGGGGGGGAGCAAACAGAGAGACCCAATTCTAATTCCTGGAAAAGGGCTCAAAGAATGAAGGACTTATTTGCTGTTGATACATTTTTAAAGTAGCACTTATTTTTTAACATCACAGCTATGTGGTGTTAAGAGGTATGATTAATGCATGAACTGAAATGTGTAATATCACTTCTATAGAAAGTGTAAAAATTTTAAGTATATGATCTCTCACTTCAACTGGAATTAAAGAATAAATAAATAGACATTCATATCTCTCTGTAATCTGTTGTACACAGATTATGTATAACAGATTACTCTAAATTGTGTAGCCTTAAAATTAAATGTTTATTTTTACATATAATATAGGAAAACAATTATTGCCTAGATCTCAGAGTGCCCTGTTACAGATCATCACAAGCATGATATTTTTCTAGTTTATAACAGGATAAAGCTTAATGGTTTTAGAACAGAAGGAAAAGAATTCAACTTAGAGTTATACAGATGTCTGTGGTTATCAAGTATTTACAGTTGTCCTTTTGCAGCTCTGAACTCACTGTAAAAAGACAATTGTTTGTTTAGATGCAAAATACAATATAAGGAAATTGCTCAAATTTTGATTGATTTTGATTGATTTAAAGGCCATTTTTTACCATAAATACAGAATTTCTCAGAAGCAACTCCCATTATTAAGACTGGAGCCAAGATTTTGTCATAACTTCTATTTTAAAATTTATATTTTGAATGGTATACTACATGCTTTTATTGCTGTCAATGCAGAAACAAAATGTTTGACCAGTTCTGACCATGATTCAGATTACAGAGAAGTCCTTAGCACCACATTTAAGAAGCTGCTATAATTAATTCCAGGGCAAGAGTCTGATTTATGTTTCTTAATCAGATAGCAGAGAATTGATGAAAATGCATTTTGTAACAGACGTCTGACAACATCATAAAAAATGGAAGTGTTGATTCTAGTAGCTGCTATGTGTGGAGGCACATTTCTTGCATGAAAAAAAAAAAAAAAAAAATCACAAGGTTAGTTTTCCTGGGCATCTATAACTGAGATATTTGACTTAGAAAACAGATATGAGTTCGGCAGTTATATAGATTTATTTGGGTTGAGAATTATCAGACTGTATATGTTGTAATGATTATATATATGATGTGGATTTGCTGCTCACTAGATATGCTGGCTTACAAGTGAATACAAGAAAGGAATAAAATGCAGAATTAAGGCTGCTTCTGAAATATAAGGTGTTACATTTAAGAGATTAAATATAAGAATGTTATGCCTCCATTTCTTCCTTTTATTTTTTTTTTCTTTCAATATTTCTGCTTATAACTTTAAGCATGCTAACAGTTACAGCAAATTTATATTCTAATGACATTGGTTAAAAACAGAATCTTCTCTGTTTCTCAGTAAAAAGACCCCTAAATGAGGTAATTAGATTTGTAAAAGTATGACTATCTGTAGCTGAAAATGTGAGTACTTCTGAAAAGGTGACATGGAAAAGCAGTGGCACCACACGGGATTTTGTATGCCAAATCTTCAGAATTCTCTTTTTGTATTGCTTACTCTGCTTGGACAGTATTTAAGAACATTTATAAGCTCACCTTTTAATGCTTCTGAAGAACAACTTTCTTCTCGTACATCAGATTTTCAAATAGTGTGTAATTTTGGTACAATAAAAAAGTCTTATGCAACATACTCTGCAACTTAAATTAAAAAATACTTCAAAATGTGAATATTTTTTTTAACTTATCCTATTTTTTAAAAACCAAAAGACTTATCTACCAGTAAGAAGAATGTGTGTGTAAATATACCTCATAAATTCCTGAACAGAAGACAATTTATCTTTTGTGTTTTCCTTAAATCACACAAGATATCCACGAGCACATATATTTCACAAATGTTTTGAGAGTGGCATGTGGCTACTTATTTGCTGTTGTGACCAGCTTTGACTGTTATGTTTCAGATGTAACTTCATGTCTTTTTCAAGTCCAGTATTCAAATGATACAAAGAATAGCAAATATTTCCAATTACCATGTGTTTACAAAAAGCGAACGAACAAACAGAAACAGCCAAGCAAAAATAAATCAGAAAGGACAAAAAGGAGAGTGTCAAGGAAAAATAAATATCTAGGAGACCAGTCACTTGTCTAAACAATTATTATACAACATTAAATCTTATATTGGGCCTTCCAGTAATTGAGTACTGACTGTGCTACTGATGCTGATATGTGAGATGCTGTTGGAAAACTCATCGCTGCTGCAAAGCATAGTGGTGTGATCCAAAGTGATGCAGAAAACAGTAGGTGCTCTGTCACTAGGTCAGCTGCAAGACGAAGTGACATGCGCGAATCTACAGTATATGGAGTTTTGTGAAAGATTCAGTCTCTCTTTCTTCCAAAGAACTTTGGCTGATGACACAAGGGGAATTCAGTTCCCTTTGGCAGGACTCCATGTTGGTCTGGATGCTGTAAATACTTCTGCTTCTACAATTACTTAGCTCATGCTGCTAAAAATACACTCATGACAGAGTTAATGAAAGTATTTTTTTTTTTCAAACCACTTGTCAGCAACAATCATTTAATGTTCTTGCTTGCATGTGTGGTTCTCATTATTCAGATGTAGTTATTAATACTGATGAAAATTAGAGAGAGAAAATCCAAATATTTTCATACTTGCACTTTCCCAGTAGCATTTAAAAACAAATGAAACACCGAAATCTAAACAAGTACAAATATTTTTTTTTCTTTTTTCTTTTTTTTTGTTTCTTCTTTTTTCTTTTTTCTTTTTGGGTTTTTTTGGTTTTTTTGTTTGTTGTTTTGTGATATGTTGGGGTGGGG